TTTTTTTATCAACAAAGTACAGAAAAGAGCAAGTTAACCTTATAATTACAATTGAAGAATTTGTAATGTACAATACTTTAAGCACACCAATTAAACATCAATTCAAACTGAAACACAGATACATTTATCAATTAAAATTTCTAACTTTTCAAACTGAAACAGATATTTATCAATTAACTAAAATTTCTAACTTTTCAAACTGAAATACAGATATGTTTATCAATTAGCTAAAATTTGTAACCCTTGTAAAATTTCTTACTTTCTCTGGCTTTATGTCCTTCAGAGCTTTTTTTAGCTGTTTTTAATCCATTGCTTAGTTTTTCTTACTAATTTATAAAATTTGAGCGTAAGCCCTATTCGATCCTCTCTTGAGTCTTTGACCACAGCATGGTGCTCTGAAGACAAGCAGTTTTCATGCTTTCCTCCCAACCTCCTCCAAACCTAAGAATTTAGCAACTCAAAAAGAGGGGGAAAGTCTAAATTCTCTTGGTCTGAATCTGAAAGGACCAGTTACTTTTCAGCATCGTCCCCTTTCTGACAGAGGACCAGGATGTTGCTTTTCGCTTCTGGGGCACACATATGATGCCAAGAAGGCATTCTGTGGCACAATTTGAGCCATAAATCAATATAGGGAAATTGATCTGGATGTTCCTGTCCAGGGGTGGTGACTGTTAGCCAGACAGACCAGACAAGATCCTCACCTAGGGATCTCTCAGTTGGCCAAGCTAGGTAAAGCTTGGGCCATTCTACCTCACAAAAGGCTCTAAGTTTGGGGGTTTCATCTTAATACCATAATTTCCAGTAAAACCCTTCTTAAGATTCTTAAGCATGCATTCCAGAACAGTAGGATGAGATGTTTCTGTCCCCACGATCGGCTGGATCAGAGTGTAGGTGTGTGTATGGGTACCCTTGTACAGAGACGCAAGACAAACAAAGGTGGGGGATCACTAGCTCGTCTGCCTGGCTGCGGGCTTCTCGGCCACTTTAAGGTCTGTTCAGGCTAAGGTGGGCTGTCTCCTAAGCTCACCATGGTGCCTTTGTTAAACGCGACCACACACAAATTCTACGACTCGGGAAGGACTCTTTAAGCACAAGCGCGTCCTCTCTCTGTCTTGTTCCACAGCTTGTTCCACACACTCTCCTATCCAGAACTCTTTCACTCACACATTTATTCAGAAATTATCACATTCCTTCCCGGTGACCCCCTAACCATAACCAAAACAAATGAAAGAAGCTACCTCCCCAAATGGCAAAGCACAAGGGGTGATCAGGCCCCTGCACTATGTTTGCCCAAAGTTCATAAACTGAACCAAAACAAATGGGAGGAGCTACCTCCCCAAAAGGAAAAGCACAAGGGGTGATCAGGCCCCTGCACTATGTTTGCCCAAAGTTCATAATCTGAACCAAAACAAATGGGAGGAGCCATCTTTCCAAATGGCAAAGCACAAGGGGTGATCAGGCCCCTGTGCTGTATTTGCCCAAAGTTACAGAGTCCAAATTCACAAGGCGAAACCGAAAGTTAATGACTAGGGGGTTTCCCAGGGTTTCTCACCCAGCAAAGGAAAGAGACAGATGAGACACCAAGAGCAGCAGTCCTCCTTCTGTAGTTTCCTTCTCAGGTTCAGGCAAACCTCCAATGGTGAGTGGATCTCTGTGTCCTGTTGGAGAGCCTAGAAAATTAGTCCCAGGGGCGCACCTTTCCTCTCGAGGAAACAGAGAGCCGCTCCCTCCTGTGGGGTTCTGGCCAATGCCCAAAAGGGCTATTTCATTCCCGATTCCCGGCCAACACACCAAATGTTGCAGAAATCTCAGAAAGAAATACACAGAGACACAGAATTCAGATAAATCAATAAAATTTCTTCTCGCGAGTGGACGGGAGCACCAAAAACCAGTCTGGTCAATATCCGCACCCCCTTTGTTCAGCATTTCCCTTTTTATATCCTTTTTAGCCATTATCTCATCCCCAATGGTCTTTGATAT